CTACAAATACACAAAATCAATTCAAAAATAAACAAAAGAATTCTTCACAATTGGCGGAAGAAAGAATTGCTTCCATGACTTGGTTTCATGCCATTTCACCGCTCATTTACCTAAATTCCCTAGCCCTAATGGGTGTCCGTTCTGAATCAGAGCATCACGCTCGTCGATCTTTATTTTTTGGGCACCCAAATGTCTACAGCATCCACCAATCGGGAAGACTCTGCTATCCTCTTAAAGCTTTTCTTGCTGGCCATGTTGGTTATTAGATGATAATAGGAAAATTTTCCTTTTGAAGATTAAACACAAATGAATAAAAGAAGTTAGATCACCTCGAGATCATTGGATGTTTTTAAATCCTCACATACAAAGGGAAGATGATAACCTTGAAGGAATTTTTAATGACTTAACCAAGTGCTTCCTCTTTTTTAGATCTTCTCCCTTGTGCTCCTTAGATACTTCACTCTTTAGGAAATGAAAATGTAGCTAACCCTAAAAATCATATGAAAATGTACCTATAAATGGCATATTTATAATACCCAATAAGGCTTTTATAATTGCACAAATTTCCTTGGACTTTAATGTAGTAGACTAATTAAGTCACACACCTTTATTGGAACCAAAAGAAGGGCCTAACCTGCATGATTTAAACTTCAATAGATGTTTCTAATTATGTCAACTCTTGATTAATTGAGATATTTATATTAATATCGGCTCATTCTACCAAAAAAGCAAGATTGCACTTTTGAGTAGATTGACAGTTATAGAAACAAATTATGATTCGATAATAATATCCTCTGATTATTGTTCTATAAGTCAACCCCTATTTGATTGTCAATATGTTGAAAACGACATAATGATCGTTTAGCCCTTCAACATGTATTACTTTTTAAGTTTCATTTTCATAAAGCAAATTCATTGTGATCAATATAGAGTCCAACGATCTCATCATCGAACTATTGATTCAGGTTCAATTGCCTATAGAAAATAACTTAGAGTGACGATCGTATCGTCTCGATAATTAACAGATTCCGCTATCGCAAATATATGATCTCTAATTATTTCGGCCCGATTTTCAAAGACCGAGAACAATCTTCTAATTAAGATTTTACTCATTGGTATTGCAAAGAATTTGAACTAGCAATCAAAGGTACATTACTCGTTCATGATTTATGTGACTTGTTCGATAATCGAGTAGAGTCTCATTCGGAGCAATCACAAATGAGTCATTTATGTAGTTTTTGTTCATTGTGCATCAAAAAACACATTGTTGTTCATATTTTCAAATCTCGACAAATCATAATAAGAACAATGCAATCTTATTGGTGGGGATTACAATTAGATTTTCAGTAGATTTTAATAAAAGGTTTTAAAATATGTTATTAAAAAGTTGTGGAACCCATGAAATATGTGGTTAATATTGATTGTATGACTTTGACTTAAATTAAAATCTAATTTAAATCAATACCAAATAGAATGATAAAGCGTCCAACTTCATATACTAATTGTGAATGACATATTTTGATCACATCACGAACTGTTTTTACTATACCCGAACCATTGAGTATACAGTTTGTGACATTCTATATGATCATGAAACCTTAGATAATTGTTTCAAATTGTAACATGTGAATCGAATGTCAATTTATAATGCCGTTTTACAAAATATTGATTGAAAAAGGATATCAAACTAACAATCTCCCACTTGTTCTTTTAGAGGATATGTGACGTATCAAGAATACCCATCCCTTCAAGATGCCCACCAAAAGCCTTATCTGGTAAGGTCTTGTTAAATGGATCGACAAGATTATCTGCTGATGCGATCTTGCTAACCGTCATGTCTCCTCGATAAACAATCTTTTTAATAATGTGATATTTCCTCTTAATGTGCTTGCTACGCTGAAGACTTCTTGGTTCTTTAGCATTGGCAACCGCATCGCGATAAAGCGTTATGGGTTCCATTACCAAAGGTACCACCATCAAGGTCTAAAAAAAACTTCTTGAACCATACAGCTTCTTTAGCAGCTTCACAAAGCGGCTATATATTCTATCTCCACTGTGGAATTGGTAATACAAGATTATTTGATACTCCTCCATACTACAGCTCCACCTTCCAGTGTAAATACTGAACTCAACGTAGATTTCTTAGAGTCATGGTCAGATTGAAAATCGGAATCAGTATATCCAATGGGATTCAGATCATGTCCTGAAGAGCTAAATATACAATCTCTTGTTCTACGTAGGTACTTAAGTATATGCTTCACCGCTTCTCAATGTTCTGCTCTTGGATTAGACTGATAACGACTAACAGTACCTACAACATAATAAATATCCGATCTAGTACAAAGCATAGCATACATGAGGTTTCCCAAAATCGAAGCGTAAGGAACCTTCTTCATGTAATCTAGCTCCGTTGGAGTCTTGAAAAAATGCTCCTTAGATAGATAAATTCCATATCTAAAAGGATGTTATCTCTTTTTGGAATTTTGCATTGCAAATCTAGATAATATTTTGTTAATATATGAAGTTTGGGATAATGCTATCCTTCTATTTTTCCTATCTCGTAAGATATAGGTTTTCAATAGATAATTGGCTTTTTCCAAATCCTTCATATTGAACTGTTGTGACATTCATTTCTTTACAGATGACAATGTCTGTACCATCCACATAAAGAATCAGAAAAACTACTTTCTTCCCTTGCATATGCTTGTATGCATAGGGTTCATCCAGATTTTGGTTAAAGTCATATGTCATAATGGTTTGATCAAATCTTACATTTCAAGACCTGGACGCTTGCTTGAGTCCTAAATGGATCTCTGCAACTTGCAAACTTTACTTTCGTGACCTTGTTTTATGAACCCTTCAAGTTGCATCATGTAGATGGTCTCATCAAGATATCTATTTAAAAATGCCGTCTTGACGTTCATTTGCCAAACTTCATAATCATAATGAGCAGCAATGGATAAAAGGAATCGAATAGGTTTAAGCATGGCAATCAGTGAGAAGGTTTCTTCATAGTCAATACCTTCTCTTTGGATAAAATCATTGGCCACTAGCTTTGCATCGAAGGTCTCAACCTTCCCATCTATACATCTTTTGTTTCTATAAACTTACTTGCACCTTATAGGTTTGACTCCATTAGGTGCATCAACAAGATCTAAAACCTTGTTGAAATATATAGATACTATCTCTGAGTTTATGATAGATTTACATGATTCAAAGTCTACATCATCCATTGCCTTTTTAAACGAAGCGGGATCTTCTTCTTACTCAGTAGCGATCGCCTAATAGGACTTTCCATCGAGCAAGTACCTAGAAGGTGATCACATAACCCTCCCACTACGAGTAATGATTGAAGGTGTTTGATTGTCCATTTTGACCAAGGGTCCTTTCTCTCCTCCCACTACCTAGTCCAGTCCTTCTTTAGGACCAAATTTCTCATTATCCCCATTGTGAGGGGCTTGTGGAAATACAACAATGGGTGCCTTATTCTTACCACCTCTTCTCTATGAGGTTTTGTGGGCATTACTGCTTACTTATCTCATTAGCAGCCATTGGTTTTGTAGGAGGTTCCAAGACATCACTCTTTGAATCTACACGAAAATCTAGAATCGATTGTTTGAACCATGTTCTAACACCTCTTCCAATAGAATCTTACTACTAGAGTTCTGTTCTACTGTATATTTATCTTTTAAAAAAGTTGTATTTGTACAAACAAATACCTTCTTATCTAGATGATTGTAGAAGTAGTAATCTCTTGTTCCTTTTATGCACCCTACAAAAAGACAAACTTTGATATTGATTCTATCTTAGTCGTCTTTCCCTTTAGCATACGTGCTAAACGTCCCTATATCCAAATGTAGTGCAAATTAGGCTTGTCCCCATTCCACAATTCAAGAGGTATCTTGGGAACCAACTTAGATGGTATTGAATTCAAGATGTTAATGGTTGTTTGCAGTTTATATCCCAAAAAGAAATAGACAATGAAGAATAACTCATCATTGATCTTACTGTATTAAAAGAGTTCGATTTCTTCTTTCCGAGACTCCATTCTGTTGGGAAATCTTTAGTGCACTCAGTTGAGATAATATCTAGTTATTCGATAAGTAGACCTTAAATCCTCGGGATAGATATTCGCCATCTCGATAGGATTGAAGGGTCTTGATACTCTTACCTAATTATTTCTCAACCTGCTTTGGATTTGTGAGACATAAGATATTTGTATTCAAATCTCGAGTAATCATCTGTGAAGGTGATAAAATACTCATATCTTTCCTTAGCTTGAGTACTAATGGGTCTACAAAGATCGAAATGTACCAATTCCAAAACTTCGTTAGCTCTTAGTCCCTTAGCATTAAAAGGCCTCTTGATTATCTTTCCTTCTATACAAGATTCACAAGTTGGTAAAGATTCCACCTCTAACTCATTTATAGGTCCATCATTTACCAATCTTTGAATCCTATTTAGATTAATATGACCTAACCTAAGATGCCATGAGAGAGTTTCATTAGTAGTAAACGACCTCTTTCTTTGCTTAGCAGTAGTAGTGTTATGTATAGAGTCAATCACAGGATTTAAGATATACAGAGTATTAACCATATGACTCGAACATATAATATTCAACTTAATAACCACTGTGGAATCGTAAAAACTACCGAATAACCAATAAAATATAAAAGTGCAAAGAAAACCAAGTTCCATGTAAGTTCGACAATATAATAACAGTCATCCAAAATCAAATGTCTACAATTTTCAAAATATAAAGTAAAAGTGCCAACAACTTTGGCTGACATTACTGCTCATGTGCTAACTCTAAGAGTATACTTCCCTTTAGTGAAATGCTTGATTTTCTAGAACCCCTACAAAGAATTACAAACACGATTTGTGACTCTAGAATCTACGATCCAAATATTAGTAGAATCAACCACTAAGCATGATTCAATGAATAGGGCACTGCCTTTACTTTGCTTCCCTTTAGCTATGTGATCTGAGCAATTCCTCTTCTAATCCTTTAGTCCACAAGAAAAACACTTTCCCTTTGATTTTCCATCAGCAGTAGTTTTCTTTCCTTTTGACTTTCCATCTTTCTTTTTGTTTGGCTTATTCCTCTTATTTCCTCCTTTGCCACCAGAAGTCTGAGAATGAGAGTATTCGACTATTACAATCAAAGTATTTCCACTTCTGGCTTTTGGAACAGTTTCAGCATTTTGGAACTCTTTCATTAATTCTGTCATAGACATGTCTATCTTATATAGATTATAGTCAACTATAAAATCTAAGAACATCTCAAGGAGAGTCTCAAGAACCATATCAATCCGTGTCTCGAAATTAATCTCAGTTCCTAAAACCTCCGTAGCATTGAAGTGACAAATCACAGTTAACATATGGTCCTTTACAGATGTGCTGGTTTCATACACGTGTTCATAATTATCCTAATGGAGGCTTGCCTAACTTATCGACTTTGATATCCAACATCTCTTGTAGACTTTCTATTATTTCAAAAGCAGTTTCTATTTTCTGATGTTTCTCTTGCAATATATTTGACATGGATACCAAAATATAGCAATGGTTCATCTCATCAGAATGACACCACTTTTCATATGCTGTCTTTTGAAATTCTGTGGGATCATCTTTAGGGGTTTCGGGACAATCTTCAATCATCACAAATTTGGATTTTTTAGCGGTAAGAACACTATTAAGATTCCTTTTCCAGTCAATATAGTTTTCCCCCACGAGTTAGTTTTCGTTAAGTATCCCAAGTAATGGATTAAGCGACATTTTCTATAAAAGTAACGACTCGTGTATTAATAAAATGAGCAATAATCTTTGTATAATATATGTACATGAGTATGCAAATATAAATCAAAAACTATATTTTTAACCAAAGATCTTAAATCCTTACAACTTTTAACACGCTCTTTATAGGAGGTCAATGTAATTGCTAGCAAGGTTGGAACCTTTCCAATCATTTTATTGAGTTAGGTATCTCTTGCCATGATAAAAATGAATTATTATTTGGTATATGAATAATTTTGGTGGAACCTTTTATAGGAAGTCCTCAAAAAAAAATCATATGTAAGTTTAATATCTTCGCCAATAATTTTTAAAATATCTGAAATATATGAGATGTTATGTATAGGATAATTAGCCCATTATCCTGTTTAAAAAAAAAAATCTATTATAAGATCCAATTTTAGTTAATCTGAATTTACGTAGTCTTCCTATATGGAGAGTAATGTAATTCGATACTAAACATGTGTATTTTAATGACAAATTGGATGATGGAGGAGGCCGCAGGTTTATACAGGCTTATAAACCGTCCCCTACTTATTATTTTGTACAGTAAGGTTTTGATTTAATAACTAATGTGCCAAATATAAACAATTATAATGACATTGAATATTAAATATAATTTTTTAACCACATCTAATTAATATAGAGTGATAAAAAAAATATCCAATACCAATGCATATGATTTTAATGCACGGATATGTTTCCTTTAATCTACATGACGTGTGATAATCATACATTTATTCATCATCCATAAAGCAATAAAAGTAATAATTAAATAAATTATATTCACTTATGATCCATCCTAAGAATTTAAATTACAATAAAGACTAAAGCATTCCATTGGGCCACATTCCAAACCATTTCTTCAATTTCCTTGTAGTCCAACCCATGCAATATCCAAAAATTGGGTCCATTTAATTTTTGAGTTTAATCCTCAAAACAAAAGCCTTTACCCAAGTTTCAGAGAAAGCCCAAGAACTCAAACATAATCTCATTTCACATACCCTTGCAAATCTACCATGTATCACCTCTATCAACCATCTTCGACGATGGCATTCATGGTGGCAACCCCAAAAGATGATGCCACAGTCACAGTCGCCACCGCCGCAGCTGTTGCATGGTTACAACAACAACTATTGCTTCGTAATAGCTATGGCTTTTGCTGTTGCTGCCGTCGAGATTGGCAGTAGCAGTTGTTATCGTCACCACTTACAATCTTACAATGGTTTTCTACATCTTGTTTGTTCAATTTCTATCTCCTTCCATTTCTCTAACAAGCACTAACAACAAAAAATGTATGGAGCCCCAAAATCATCATCTTTTCTTAATACACAAGTGTACAAATTTTAAAAATATGTACAAAACCTTAGTGTTTTATAGCTTATAATTTTTCAAGAGAAAAGAAAAACAAATGATATGTAGCTTATAATTTTTCAAGAGAAAAAAAAAACAAATGATATGAATTATAATGGGGAGCAAAAAAAAAAAAAAAAAATTTTAGGGGCCAAAAGAGATTATGTATAAACATTTACTTTAAGTATATAAAGCAATAAACATGTCAAATCAAATAACTTAATACCATCCATACTAAAAATATATTTTATACTAGGATTTAAAGAACTTAATCCTACTCAAGGCTCTCAATAACCTTTGCTGTGATACCATTTGTTGGTTATCGGATTTAATCATCATAATGGGAAATTAATTTTCCTTTAAGATTAAATCCAAATGAATGAGGGATCTTATATCATCTTGAGATCATTGGATATTTTTAAATCCTCACACATGAAAGGAAGATGATAATCTTGAATGAGATTTTAATGGCCTAGTCAAGTGCTTCCTCCTTTAAATCTTCTCCCTTGTGCTCCTTAGATGTCTCCCTCTCTGGGAAATGAAAATGTGCCCATATAGGATATATTTATAATACTCAATTAGAATTTTATAATTGCACAAATTTCCTTGGACTTTATTGCAGTAGACCAATAGTACTTTTATACTTGAAATTCATCCAAATATTTTGAAATCCATTTTTTAATAAAATCTTTATAAATCTACAAGTTATTGAGGATAGCTATATTTTAAAGGTTTAAATTGAAATATATTAAAATTTCAGTTGGGGACACTTGAATGAAGATGCCTAAATTTAGAAAAACTTTAAAATTCATTAAAATTTCGATTGAGAATATGGAGAACAATACAATATGTAGAACGGAGTCAAAACTCTTGTATATATTTTGTTGATAACAAATGTCTCATATTTATAGATTATAAGGGGGTAAATTATCATTCACAAATAATAATCAATTTACAACAACTTATAACACTCCCCTTAAATGATTAATTACACAACATTTCCTTTATTAAAAAACTTGTTTGATACAAAATCAACGAGATAAAAATATCAGATGATGGAAAAAATTAGTACAATTTAAACAAGAGTAATCAAATCAGTCTCATTAAAATCTTATTAAAAAAACTCAATAGGACAAAATCTGAATAAAGGAAAAAGGGTACATATATTCTCCCTTATTTGAATTAATGAAAGTCTTAGTGTGAAGCCATTCTAGAGTGTTAGGCACCTCATTAGTGAATTTTATGTTTACTTTTCCCAAAAATTAGATGAACAATATAATCAATGGTTGTTTCCCTCTTCATTGGGAAAGCAACAAATGGCACTTTCTTTGCGATTAGCATTTCAAAAAATGAGGAATTGACATCCAGCCTATGGTCGAAATCAAATGAAGACCTTTGCCCTTATAGAGTTACTTCGAAACTTGTGGTTAAAACAAGTCCTGCATGTACTACCTAATGTAATTGACAGACTCATTATCTATTTCCTTCAATGCCATCACTTCACTTCAAGACACTATTTACCAATAAGAAAAGGAAAAGCTACCTTTTTAAATGGAAGAAACCAAAGGGTTTTTGAGAATTGGTCAAGCTGTTGTGCTCTCGTTAAAGTGGCTGTTTTTCAAATTCAATTCTTTCAAAGATGAGAGATTGGACTATCTGTAAGAAAATAGGATCACAATCGGGAGAATAATAGGAGTTCAATTCATTTTTATAACTAACAGGGATAAGAGAATAGGCTGGTCAAAATGCTTTTTGTCAAAAACACGAAGAAAGAGCGAGGAAATAACTCATATTAGGAGACATGCCATATAAGTTTCTGCAGGGACAAATAGATTGAGTTTCAAACCTAGATTAGGAGCAGGCAATTGAATTGTACCATAATCAAAATATGTTGAATAGGCATAATAGCCCATCTTAGCCACCTTATTTTGAAGAAGCAACCTAGCTTCTGTGGAGCTCTTTTCGGGAGATGCGATGTTCAAGTTGAGTTTGCATATTGCTCATTGAAAGACATCAATTCGAACTTTTTTTTTTAATTTCCAAAGGAAGAAAAAATGGTGAAAATTAAAGTGCATCTTCTTTATCTTTCTTAGTTAGGAAATGGCTCGCTTGTGGCTCTGGAGTAAGTGGATAATTGATATCAATAGAGTTGTCCCACTGGTATTTATAATCTTAATGACAGACGTTTTCTTTTCTCTCTTTTCTTTTATGAACAAATCGAGGAACCCAATAGATCGAAATTGAACTTTGGGTATTTGATTGCCCCAACGGGATTGTTCTGACACAGAGGGCCCTGCAAAGTGCAACAATTTGTTAGCAGATACTTTAGTAGGAGCTGAAAAGAAGAGACATTTAAAGTTAATAAATTCCTTTTATAATCTTGAAAATAGGCACTATAAATCAATTTAAATAGATAGGGAACTTTAGTAGGAGCTGAAGGTAGTGCGCAGTTGAGGAACATGACAATGTAGCTTACGAGAAAGTTGATTAGAGCAAGGATGAAAGAAAGACGTAAGAGTGACCTGTTTAGTTCCACCTATATCTTTCGACAAAAAGATGGGTTCACAAAAAAGTATAGTCTATTAGTGGAGCATGTTAATGTTAGCTTGTTTCCATCAACCTAGTCAATCGAAAATCCGGTCCTTTAATGTAGAATCTTTCCCGCATGTTCTTGGCCACTCAACTATCGAACCTAATAGCAAAAGTATAAAAATCCTCAGATCATTTAGAACCTGAAAGTTATTCCGCTGGAAAAATTATTGTTATTGCTTCGACTCATATTTCTCAAAAAGTGGATCTCGCATATATATATAATAGCCCAGGGGAAAGGAAATCAGAAAATAGTTGAAAATAATCAAAATTAAAAATAGAGATATTTGAAAGAGAAATTTTATTAATAATTGAACGATTGCAGAATTTGAAAAATTACAGAGTAATTTTTTGGAGAACAAAATTAGCAAAGAAAATAAAACTTCTATTGCCAGAATTTACTCTGCCTTGAACTGAATTCTTGAAGTCTTTTTATACTTGAAATTCGGACTTGAAATTTCTTTCATTTGCTAGAAAGAACTTGAATAGTTGAGTGAGAGACAACATAATGAAGAATCTTGAAATATGGTACCAACTTTTTGAATAATTTTGCCATCTTTGACTAACTTTAAAAAAGAAAGATTCCTTCTTTAATAAAGTTATCATATCCTTGGAATGGACAACAATTTCTTGAGAAAAAGCTGATTAG